CGCACGTCAAAATAATGATCTCTCTCATCGTTCTTTCAAGAGTGACGAAGATAGTTGCAAACTGCACATGCGCGTTATTTTTTAAAAGTCATTACTACTCAGTGAACCAAGGCAGAAATCTGGCACCAGTTTGACTAGGGGATACGCTGGAGAGCAGTCTCCTTATTATTACTCCGTGGCGTTGGCCTATAGTGTACACCTAACTCCCTAGAAGCCCGTGCACTTTTCCCTATTTTATTACACCCGATTGCGAGCGAGTGTAATTGAGTGTTCTGATTAAAATGGCGGTAAATGGACATTTTATTTAAAATGCATTAACAGGGTTGCTACAGAAGTCTGTTTTTAAATTTCCATGACTTTTCCAGGTTTTCCAGTACCAAATCTGATAAATTTCCAGGTCACCTTTTGAACATTATAAATTAGAGCAATTTTTGAAGAAAAATTGGCCTAATAATAATAAATTAGAATTTTTCTGTATTATAAAAATATTCACGTTAGATTATCTCTATTTGATTATTAAAGCACAGACAGGGTGTCTACTGAAAATATGACTTAAAATTCCAGGACAGATTTTTTATTTTTCCAGGACATTTACATGTGTAACATTATTTCATATTACGATTAACATAATTTAAATTAACCTATCTATACTTGAACAAAAATATTTATTTTATTATAAAAAGAGTTCAAAATCAATATTATATATAGATATCAGATTCTTTAATCAAACGACAAATTAAAATTATTTTTTGATGGATCAAAAAAATTATTTTTTTAAATTTGAGTAAAATTTTTAAATTATTGAATATTTAAAAGCAAAATATGGAAAATTCAAGGATATTTCAGGACATTTCCAGGAATTCCAGGACATCATTTTTTAAAAGAAAAAATGTGGGAAAAAATATTAAGTGGAATAAAATTCCAGGCATTTCAAATTTCCATGACATTTCCAGGTATTCCAGACCATTTTTAAAAAAATCCCTGACTTTTCCAGGTATTCCAGACCTTTTTTAAAAAATCCCTGACTTTTTAAGGTTTTCCAGGTTTTCCAGGTTCTGTAGCAACCCTGTAATTAATTATTTTATGAACATAAAATTATAATATATTTCTTAGTGACTTTTAATTTGTAAAATTATTAGTAAGCAATTTTTATTTTGTTAATATTTATATAAAGTACCACATTATAAACAATTAACATTGTAAAGCAATTTTTAAATAATTATTTTCCAATTTATTAAAACCAAACTTTATTTACATAGAATTTAAAAAAAAATTTCTTAATTTTATGATGGTACACATATTTTTTAAAAAATAATAGAATTTATGAAAAAAATTAAGTTTAAAAGATAACCTTTAGAATATTTCAAAACATGTCGCTTCCGTTTTTCTTGAAACTTATGTGAAAATGAAACTTAAAAATTCTAGTTTTATTTTCTGTAAAAATGAGCAATTCGGTTGAAATTAAGAAATTAATTAAATTTTACAAAGATGTCAGAGTTTAAGGTCATGTTATTCAGTGTAAAGTTTTTCTATAGTCAAGTATATGGGGCACGTGACCACTGAATAACATGACCTTAAACTGTGTAAAAATTTGAAAAAATTAAATTCTGCTCGGTACATACATTTAACCTTCGAAATTCTTGTAAAATTTAATCACCCCTGTCCGTCTTTCCCAGAAAGTAGTCAGCTTAGTGGTTTGCACTTTAATGTGCAAAAAAGTTCCTCGAGATGGCGCAGTACTCACTACTCGTCAGCAATATTCGTTACCTCATTCATTATTGTATTTGTTGTGTTGAAATCGGTTAGAAATCTCAACTAAATTTTATAAAAAAATGTGAAAGTAAAAAAAGTATTAACATTAAAAACTATTTTAATGTTGTAAAAAGAGCATTTTGTTTAAAAAGTGAAAATGTTTTTAATAAGTAGCCGGCAAAGCTTGCCTTAGTTTAAAAATTTTAAAAAAAGTTTAAAACTTTAAAATTTTTATTTAATATTATATTTTTTATTCATTGTATACGTTCATGTTTGTTTTTGTCTTGAGTAAAATTTCATCTCAAATAATAAATAAAAAAAATGGATTAAAGTTAACCCTCCGTCACACACCTAGGGAGGGATTCCCTCTACGGTTTCAGTATTTTTTAAATAACTTTTGTTTTCCTCATTGCAAAATAAAATCAGTTTCTATACCTTTCGACAATTTACTCCTCAACACATTTCTAAAAAAAACATTTAGTTTAAACATAATTAATATTTAATTATGAAGCTTCAAAGCCAGAAGAAACTCGAAAAAGTGAGGTTATGTTAAATAAAAAAATCAAGTTTTAAAAACATTTTTTGTTCCACTGTTGGTTGATGACAAAATTATATTATAAATATAATTAAAATAAATTGTTTAATGATTTTTTTGCTTATTTGTTAATGTTACATTATTTTTACATGTCGAGTGGAATTTCTTTGAAGATGTGCATTCGTGTAATTAATTTTTATTTTTGAGACCGAAAATTAATTTGATTAATTTTATAATTTAGAATAATTTACTACATATTTGTAAGTTTGTGTTAAAACTAAATTTTTGTTGATTCCTTTGTTTATGTTGTAATGTTGCTTATTTTACAATGTGGTGAGCGATTCCCTCTGAACGTGTGTAAAGTCGTAATTTTTTCCCATGTGTGTGACGGAGGGTTAATGCTATTTATATTATCTAAATTTGTTTTCTTTATTTTAAATATACTATTTATCTATGACTTTCCTTTAACTTTTATTATAAATCAGTTTATCTGATAATTTAAACGATTTAAACGAAAGTCATCAGTTTATTGTGCAACACATTTATGTATTTTCATACTAATTATTCAATTGTTCTATCATCTTTTATGAGTTAAAAATACAATATTATTTCTTATCGTGTATTTTTAACATCACTAACAACAAGATTTCATTATAAAAACAAATAATTTATTCGTTTCTATGATATTTTTCTATTGCTTTAGTGAATTTTGAGCGAGTTGTGACGAGCGACTGCCATCTCGCTCGTTAACTTTTCGATATATCGATTAACGAGTTATCGAAGCGCGAAACAATAAAATTTCGTTAATAATCTAATTATTTTAGGATTTTCTTACGACTTTTGACAAATATTGACGAGACTAAACAAGAAAGTTTGACTATTGTAAAATATAATACTTTACGGTTTAATAGTTTCCAAATTCCAAAAATGTATTTGAAAATCAACATTTCTTAGAATTGTCATAAATCAAGTGGAATAGCGAAAGAAAATGTAATCTCTAGTTTCTTTAGAGTCATAAAACCGAGAAATTCTTGAAAGAATATAAAAAATATCTCAAGTGTCCTTTTCCATAGGACAATGCAACATGTGTTTACCATACTTGTGACCACAGAAATGACTTCGAAAAGTCACGTACACATAGACTTTCATTATGCGACGAAACTTAATTATCAATTGTATAATATGAACGTTATGAACAATTAACAACAATATTATATTGTTGCTAATAGTGCAGCATGAATGTATTATTTGAAAATGATATTATTAGTAAACTTTATCTGATTGATTGTTGTAATATTATGGTATAGGATATATACAAATATATATATATATATATATATATATTTATGTATATATTTGTAACGTATTAATATAATAATAGTATTATATTATGATACATTATCAAATTGGTTATCGTTATAATTGTTGTTTATATCTAAATATGATGAGTGCAGTATAAGAGATTTATTGTTACTAGATATGATGTAAATAATTAATAATTGTGTAATTAGTGTGAATGCAAAAGGGTTATGTTCACTTGTTGTGATACATGTTTTCAATACATAGAGTATGTTTTTAAGTGTATTAGTGCAATACAGTGTTAGTGTTGTGATTCTGAACACTCCATAGACTTTACAAACTCTATAACAGGGCATGCGCAAAGATTCTGCCATGGACCAAGGGATAAATGCTCCCTCACGAATTCAGTTCTATTTTTGGAGTTCTTTCGTAATGTACTTCAGAGTAGTCCCAAAAATAGCCTTAAGAATAACTTCGACTTGTGTAATGTTTTCACTTTAATAAATGTATTGGGTTTACTCGCGAATTTAGTTGGATTAATAATTAATTGATATTATTAATTATTAATTGATCCTTCTTATTTGTGAGGTTTTTCCCTCCGTTTTAACGGAAATTAACTTGTTTTATTTGAATATTTCCGCCTTCCTTTTCAAAGGATTAAACCAAGATTGAACATCAAATCAAATCGCGGATCTTACGCCTGCGCGTAAATAACGTAACTCCGCACGTAACAGAGTGTTGAGAACAGCGCCATCACGTGTTACTTTTTGGCACATGAAAACGCAAACCACTAAGCTGACATATTTTTCCTTCAAAATACATAGGAGTCGGACTGGGGTGATTTAATTAATATCTCAAATTTCCATGAATTGCCCATTATAAAGTTTACAGGGAATAATAGGAATAAATCCTATTATTTAAAAAAAAAATTTTAACATCATAAAACTGATAAATTTTTCTCTTAAAATCACTAATAGTAAATAAATTTTGGCTTTAATAAATGTGAGAAATAATTATTTAAAAAATTGCTTCACAATGGCAATTGTTTATAAGGTGGTTTGTTTTAAATAAAATGACCCATATATTTAATTATAAAACCTAACTATATTACAGATTGTATGCAGTTTACAATTAAGATAGCGTTAATTTTTTTTTTTCATTTTTTCGTGCACTTTCTCTACACTTTTGCGTTCTCGCTAGATTTTGTACTTTGTTTAAGTGCGCATGCTCCGTTTTACACTCTTATTACACTCGAGAGTAGCGGTGTAGCTAGCGAGAACAAACCTCATGTTGTGCTCCTGCTCCAAGAACAGTCGAACTTTGCCAGTGTATGTACATGACGTCATAGATTGCCTCAGAGTAGAGCATAGCTTTTTGAGAGCAGAGTAATGGAGCACTCACAGCTCTGCCTGCCTGCGCAGGCAGTAATTGGAGTAAGAGAGAAAGTCAATTAAAGTGAAAGAGACAGTAAATTCAAATTTGTATTGCTGCCTACTAGCTGTGAGTGCGCCTTAAACTATACTCCTACACCGAGCAAGATCGCTCTCGGAGCAGATAACCGAATTCGCTATAATAATTTACCAAAAAATTAACAAAAAGAAATAATTTTTAACAATAAATTAAAATTTTACTTTTAATTAATTTCTTAGAAAAGTTATTTTTAATGTCTATTTACTATGATTTGTATTTATTTTATTACCTTTATAATTACATAACCGGTGTTCGCTTACGAAAAGTAACATAACCTCCAAATCACGTGTATGTTTATATCAAATAAATTATAAATTATTAAAAATATAATTCAGTTTTTTAAAAGTTTTGTAAAAAAATGAATGATCCTTTAAAAACAAACGAATTTAGTGAAGAAAGTAAAACTTCTATTGATAATAATGAATTCAGTGATAACAGTTTTAATCAGAGGGATAATAATGTGAATATGAAAGAATTGAATAATGAAAATGAAAAACAAGAAGAAAATAAAGTGAATATAGAGGAAGATAAAGATAATTACAGAAAATCTGATGAATGGATGGTAAGTTTTTTTCTTAGTAATATTATAATATTTTCTTAACAATGGTAAAAAAAAATTTTAATTAATTCAATTCTATCAAGAAATTTAATTAGAATTATTTCTTTCGAGAAATTTTATGAAAATTATATTGAAAAAAGTTTGAATTCTTACGAAGTGCTTTATTATTTATGAAAATAAGAAAAGTAAAAATACAAATTTATTGTTTCGAAAAAAAATTTTAATTCTTTCGATGAATTTAATTAAAATTACGTAGGTACTTCAAATAATCAATTGAATACACTTCTAAAGAATGTTATCAAAGTTTTTGAAAATAACTTAATTTTTTCAAGGAATTTTGTTAAAATTTTCCAAAATAATTTAAGTCTATCAAGAAATTTTCTTGAAACCTTATTGAAAATAGTTGAATTACTTCTGAAAATTTTTAATATTTATGAAAATAATTGGATCCTTGCCAAGAATTTTATTATAATTTAACAAAATAATTGAATTCTTTTGACAAATTTTGTAAAAAAAAAATTTTTAAATAATGGAATTCTTTCGAGGAATTTGAAAATAATTAAATTCTTACAAAAAATTATATTATTGATAGAAATATGTAATTGAATTCTCGCGAAGAATTTCATTAAAATTTTTTAAAAACCTAATTAAATTATTCTGAAGAATTCCTTTGAATTTTTTTTAAAAAATGGAGTTTCTTTAATAATTTTGATTGAAAATTTTGAAAGCAATTGAATTTTATTAACAATTTCTTTCAAGTTTTTAAAATAATCGTGTTTCTTAAAATTATTAAAATTAAACATTTAATTAATTTTATTAAAATTTTTAGAAAATAATTAAATTCTTCTCAGAATTTTATTACAATTTTCTAAAATAATTTAGTCATTTAAGGAATTTTATTAAAATATATAGAAAATAATTTAATTCATTCAAGGGTTTTATTAAAACATAAAAAATAATTTAATTCTTTCAAAAAATAGATACAGTGAGTTCTCGCGAGTCGTTCAATTCTCGAAAATTTTCAAGATCATAAAACTCACGAGTCGTTCAACGCATAAGCCACGCCTCCAAGGCGATTTCAGGGATGTGTGAAACATATTTATCGCCCCGAAAGACATAATATTCAATGACTTTGGTCCGTTTAAATTACACAGCACTGAGCACCGGCGCGCGCATGCTAGAAATTGAACGACTCGTGAATCCGTCGTGAGTTGAACGACTCGCGAGAACTCACTGTACTATTACAGGTTATAATAATAATTGAATTCTTTCAAAAAATTTCTTTAATTTATTGAATATAATCGATTTTGTTAATAGTTATAATTAATAATTTTACTATTAGAATTTTATTAAAATTATTGATAGAAAATTAACAGATTTATGAAAATTTTGTAAAATAATAAATTGAATTCTTTTGAAAAATTTTATTAAAAATTAAAAAATAATTGAATTGTTTCAAAAAATATTATAACGAATTAAGAACAAAATTGAAGTCTTTCGTAAATTCCATTGAAAATAATTGAATTCTTGCAAAGATTTTACTGTATATTTTAAAAGAATAATTTAATTGTTTCGGAGGATTTATTAAAATTTTAGAAAATATTTGAATTTTATCGTGAAATTTAATTAAAACTTTGTTGGAAACAATTGAATTTTTGCAAAAAATTTTAATTTTTATAAAAATAAAAATAGTCTATAAATGAATTTATTTGCAGATTAGACCTTGTCACATGTATAAAGAAGAATACGGTGATTGCACGGGTATAAAAGACCGTTTCCAACAATATTTCGTTTTTGGTGAATTAACCGATTGTTCACAATGGAAAACTGATTATCAAAATTGTGAAAAATGGAATAAAAAAAAGGACACCCAAGCTTTTGTAAGTTTTGTTCTTAAAATTATTTAGAAAAATTGTAAGATATCGATAAATTTATTTACGTATAGAAAATAAAAATTGTTGTGTAGAAAAAAAGAAATATATTTACCTAAATTTGAAAACATTAAAATAAATATTTAAATATTTATATAAAAAATTACCTTCAATTCTTATACTTGAATTAAAATTTTTTTGTTTTTTAAAGGATGAATTAGTTAAAAGTGAAACAACAAGAAGAATGAATAGATTAAAGGCTCATTATGCAAATAATGTTTGGAAAAGGAGAGATAAACCGCCGGAAGATTGGGCCAAACCACTGCCAGAATGGTTACAAAAAAGAAACGAAAACAGTTATTTAGAACTTAAAAGTCAGCAAATAAAATCGGGAAATTACAGTGATTTTGAAACACGAATCCCTTGGTGTTCTATTTTATAGTAAAATTCATCGAAATACAAACTTAGTTACAAATTCAAAAAAGGTTGGTACAATTTTTAAATTTCCATCATTTCCAAACAATTTATTTCTAGAATTAATCATAATCGCCTTTATACACGAAGAAAATTTGTTCCTTATATTTTACCGAATTTTTCAATAAAGTTGGGATATAGTAGCATAATCGTAATTTTTAATAATTTTTATATTATTTTTTCGGTAACAATATTTAAAATCTAATGTGATATCTTTATTCCTTAAGAACTAGTACTGTAAAAGTTGAAAAAAAATTGAAACTGAACGTTTAATGTAAATTAAATAAATACCTCCTTAATGGGCACTAACGTTTCAGGAATAGTTTGGTAAAACTTTCTTGACTTGCCTAAAGTGTTAGTTTTCAGGAATAGTTCGGTAAAACTTCCTTGACTTGCCTAAAGTTTTAGTTTTCTGGATTGAAATACTTTATTTCAAGTGTCCCGCAGTCAAATGAAAGACTTTCACACTAATAGTTGATTTTTCCAACTTATTTAGACTTAATTAATAATCATTTTATTATTATTTAAATTGAAATTCAATTAATTAATTATTTTAAACACTTATTAATTGCCAAATATGTAATAAATGCTTTTAAATCATGTAAAAAGAAAATATAAAATGGCAATAACATACTTATTTTTTCAACATATAATTTATTCATTTTAATCAAATATGAATAATAGTAAGTAAGTAAGCAAGCAATCAAAAAAGCAAGTAAGTAAGCAAGTAAACATAAGTAAGTAAGCAAAAAGGAAATAAATAAGTAAGCAATTAAACATATAAGTAAGTATGTAAGTAAGTAAATAAGTAGGTAAGCAAGTAATCAAAAAAAAACTTGCTTGCTTACTAGTTTACTTTCTTATTTGCATACTTACTTGCTTACCTACTTATTTGCTTACTTGATTATTTCATTCCTGTGCTTACTTCCTGCCTTATTTACTTACTTCCTTATTTCCTTCTTGGTTACTTTGCTTACTTTCTTGTTTCCTTTCGGTTTACTTACTTCCTTATATGCTTACTTGCTTACTTTCTTATTTCCCTTTTGCTTACTTGCTTATTTCCTTCTTGATTACTTACTTTCTTATTTGCTTACTTTCTTACTTGCTTGTTTCCTTCTTGCTTACTTAATGCCTTATTTGCTTACTTGCTTATTTCCTTTTCGCTTTTTAATACCTCACAATTATTATTTAATATTTCAGAAAGATTAATTTTCTATTAATTAATTTAATAATTTCCAACTTGCAATTTTAATATGTATATTTTTAATTTTAAACTCAAAAATTTGAGAATAATAAGGATTTTCATAAATTATTGTTTTATTCCATTAAATACAAATTTAAACATTTTTCTTTATAATAATAAAAACATAATTTAAAAATATTTCATAAATTGACCTTGAATATAGTTAGAAATGATTCATTAATATAAATAATTTTTAATTTTGTACAACGATAGTTTATTAATTTGAATCTTTCTCACAAGCGGTGAAATAAAACTCAGATTAATATATAAGGACAGTTGAAACTTTCTGAAGCATTAATGTACGGAAAAAAAAGTACGTGAATCCTTCCTTGAAAGTGCTTGACTTTTGGATAGGACACAAAATACAAGGCTGTATTATATACTTTTTATTAGAAAATATAGAAAAGTCCTAGAGTTATTCTAGTACTAGTATGGGCAACAGTGTTTTTTAAATTTTAACGAAAAGTCATTTGTTGAGTTTTATAAAGTACGTGAAAGATTAGTTGACTGCGCTTGAAAATTCTGTAGAGCATGCGCAGTGTGCGTTGCGCGTTTCTACCCAAGGTAAATGCCAGCTGATCGTCTGTTTCCATTTGTGTTAATTTCAGATGTGAATATACTATTATTTTATGAAAAACAAATAGTGTTAATATACATTTGTCTTCAAGAATTGACTTTCAAAAAAATAGTTTTTATTTTGTGTTTCTCACAAAACAGAATGTTATGTAAGTCTCAGTTTTCAGTGAAATAGCATGTCTCAGAAGTCGTGAAAAATTTCACCATGTGGTATATAAGAACAATTCGATACGTACTTTTAAGTGTTAAGTGTGGGGCTCAAAGAAAAAGTGGTATAAAATAACAGTGCGAGCAAAAGTGAGTTAACTTTTCTGACGGGTAAGAATGGGCCAGATGAATGCTGCGAGGAAAAACAGAATTTCTTTCGAGCGCGAGCAAAAGCGGGCTAAATGGCTATCCCATTTTTGCTCTTAGTCAAAAGTTGATCCGCTTTTGCTCGCACCGTGAAGTCTATAGTAATGTCGAGATACGAGCCGTCGCTACATTTTGACAATTTGACGTTTGATTCCATTTCGTTTATTTTACTTTTATTTAATTGTTTCAATGTGTGAATAATAAAATAAGAATAAATAATAAAAATAATAATAATAATGTGTGAATATTGATAGAATATTCCTTTAAAGTGAACAGAATATTTCTTCCAAAACTTATTTTTAATATTTTGTTGTTGTTGAAAAATTTGTTAGTTACATTAAAAATATGATCATGTTATTTATTTATTTATATGTAGATAAATAATTTCCTAATATTTTTCAAGTTTTTAACATGCTAATTTTTACTGGAAAACTTTTTCATTTTTCTCGAAAATTTTTCTCGAAAAATTATTTTCAAAAGGTTGTTAAATAACAAATTTTAATAATTGAAATTAACAAAAAATTTCAAGTCAAAATTCCTAAACATTATAACTCTATTTCTTCCAAAGTTCAATTATTAAAATTTTTTTAATAAAAGTTTAGTTTCATAAGTCAATTTCAATTATTGTAATAAAATTTTTTAGAAATTCAATTATGTTTAAAAAATCTCGCATTAAAAATTCCTTAAAATGTAATTACTGACCTAAATTTGTGAAAAAAAGTAAGTATTTCAAATATACAAAAATTTGTATTTCAAATTTCCTACATTTATATTATTTACAAACTTTTTAACAAAAATTATATTTCAAATTAATTATTTTCAAAAAATTATAGTATGAAATTTAAGGCAAATTTTTAGCAATTAAAATTTACAAATATTCGTAGTTTAATTTTTCTAAAATTCAATTTTTATTAAATATACATTAGAATTTAGATTGAAATTTTAAATAATTAAATTTTAATGTGCCTGAAGTTGCCATCGATGCTCAGCATCGAAATTTTTTTTTCATCAGACCATCAATTTTTTCGCATTTTCGTACTCAAGTAGGTACCCAATAAATACCTAATAAGTTTCGTCCTATTATCGATAGGGGAAAGTTGCCAAATCAACCCCTAAATTTAAAAAAATAAAAAAAAATAGGAAAAAATTGTTATTTAAAAACTAATAACGAGACCATAAATTTTATTGCATAAAATGCATTCACTCGATGCCCAATGAATACAAAAAAATTTTGACTTGCAAGTCGATAGGGAAAAGTTGTCATTTTCAACCCTTAATATTTAAAAAATCGAAATCCTTTGACCAGCGATTTTTTTTTGTTTATTGTTTCTACATACTCCACTAATAATGAAAAATAATTTCAGAAAAATCGCCGCCCGGAAAACTTGATTTTTCTGCCCGTAAAAATTAAAAAATTGAAAAAAAAATAGAAAAAAATTTGTGAAAATTACAATTATCTGTTGACCAGGGATTTTCTTTTTGTTTATTGCTTCTACATACTCCACTAATAAGTAAAAATAATTTCAGAAAAATTGCCGCCCGGAAAACTTGATTTTTCTGCCCGTAAAAATTAAAAAATTGAAAAAAAATTAGAAAAAAATTTGTGAAAATTACAATTATCTGTTGACCAGGGATTTTCTTTTTGTTTATTGCTTCTACATACTCTACTAATAAGTAAAAATAATTTCAGAAAAATTGCCGCCCGGAAAACTTGATTTTTCTGCCCGTAAAAATTAAAAAATTGAAAAAAAATTAGAAAAAAATTTGTGAAAATTACAATTATCTTTTGACCAGGGATTTTCTTTTTGTTTATTGCTTCTACATACTCCACTAATAAGTAAAAATAATTTCAGAAAAATCTATTTTTCAATTATTATTGTTTACAACAATTTAAAAAAATTATTATATGTTTTATTAATTGCCTAGTGGTCTTCTTGGATTATCTTGAACTGATTTAAATCATGTGCAGTAACGGAATAAGAAATAAAAGTCCATTTTAAAAAATTGTATTAATTTGTTAACTTTGATTAAACTAAAAAATTATAAACAATTAATATCTCAAAAATCAGTCTCAAGGGATGTCATAAGAATTTATTCCCCTTTAATTTAAATACAAGAACACTCAAATCGTTTAAAAATTGTAGGCTGAAGACATTTTTGAAAAGTAAATTGTAAAAAAATCCCACTGTGTGTAGGACCAAAATGTCATTTGGTAGTCCCTATTCGATTTTCGTTCGTTGTGCTAAACGTGGAAAGCAACGTAGCGAGTCTTTAAATCTCAAGGTAAGCCGAAAATTGCCGAACGCACCAGAGCTAGGACCCAACAGGCAAACACTCAAGTTCGCGGAGAGAACAGGCGACGTTGAGAGTTTGTGTTGGAGAATTACTTCGGGTGTATTCGGGTAATCTCGTCTTCCCGTAGGATTTAAAGTATCGCTGCATTGGCCGAGCACTGAACGAATGCCAAAAGAAGACACGATAAATAAAAATCTCCCCTTGAATTGCACAATTCGGACAAATGGCAACTGTGATTTTAACAATTTTTTTTCTTATTTTTTTGAGTTTTACTAATATTTACGGGCAAAAAGTAAAACTTTCCGGAAGGCAATTTTTTTAAAATTATGTACACATATTAGAGGAATATGTAGAAGTAATAACAAAGAAGAAAAAATCCCTGGTCAAAAAACAACTGTAATTTTTACATTTTTTTTTAATTTTTTAATTTTTTCATTTTTACGGGCAAAAAATCAAAGTTTCCGGTCGACGAATTTTTTGAAATTTTGTTGATACATTAGGGAAATATGTAGAAGTAAGAAACAAGAAGAAAATCTCTCGTCAAAAGAAATTTGTAATTTTCACCATTTTTTTACCTATTTTTTCTTAATTTTTTTGTTTTTACGGGCAAAAAAGTCAAAGTTTCCGGGCGACAATTTTTTTGAAATTGTGTAGATACATTAGGGGAATGTGTAGAAGTAAGAAGAGGAAGAAAATCTCTGGTCAAAAGACATCTGTAATTTTTACAATTTTTTTCTTATTTTTTTTTTGTTTTTATGGTCAAAAAAATCAAGTATTCCGGTCGGCGATTTTTCTGAAATTATTTTTATTTATCATTGGAGTATGTAGAAGCAATAAACAAAAAGAAAATCCCTGGTCAAAAGATAATTGTAATTTTCACAAATTTTTTTCTAATTTTTTTCAATTTTTTAATTTTTACGGACAGAAAAATCAAGTTTTCCGGGCGGCAATTTCTCTGAAATTGTTTTTACTTATTAGTAGAGTATGTAGAAGCAATAAACAAAAAAAATCCCTGGTCGAAAGATAACTGTAATTTTAACAAATTTTTTTCTAATTTTTTTCAATTTTTTAATTTTTACGGACAGAAAAATCAAGTTTTCCGGGCGGCAATTTCTCTGAAATTGTTTTTACTTATTAGTGGAGTATGTAGAAGCAATAAACAAAAAGAAAATCCCTGGTCAAAAGATAATTGTAATTTTAACAAATTTTTTTCTAATTTTTTTCAATTTTTTAATTTTTACGGACAGAAAAATCAAGTTTTCCGGGCGGCAATTTCTCTAAAATTGTTTTTACTTATTAGTGGAGTATGTAGAAGCAATAAACAAAAAAAAATCCCTGGTCGAAAGATAACTGTAATTTTAACAAATTTTTTTCTAATTTTTTCTTCAATTTTTCGGGCAGAAAAATCAAGTTTTCCGGGCGGCGATTTTTCTGAAATTATTTTTGCTTATTAGTGGAGTATGTAGAAGCAATAAACAAAAAGAAAATCCCTGGTCAAAAGATAATTGTAATTTTAACAAATTTTTTTCTAATTTTTTTCAATTTTTTAATTTTTACGGACAGAAAAATCAAGTTTTCCGGGCGGCAATTTCTCTAAAATTGTTTTTACTTATTAGTGGAGTATGTAGAAGCAATAAACAAAAAAAAATCCCTGGTCGAAAGATAACTGTAATTTTAACAAATTTTTTTCTAATTTTTTCTTCAATTTTTCGGGCAGAAAAATCAAGTTTTCCGGGCGGCGATTTTTCTGAAATTATTTTTGCTTATTAGTGGAGTATGTAGAAGCAATAAACAAAAAGAAAATCCCTGGTCAAAAGATAATTGTAATTTTAACAAATTTTTTTCTAATTTTTTTTTAAATTTTTTAATTTTTACGGGCAGAAAAATCAAGTTTTCCGGGCGGCGATTTTTCTGAAATTATTTTTACTTATTAGTGGAGTATGTAGAAGCAATAAACAAAAAGAAAATCCCTGGTCAAAAGATAATTGTAATTTCCACAAATTTTTTTGTAATTTTTTTTCAATTTTTTAATTTTTACGCGCAGAAAAATCAAGTTTTCCGGGCGGCGATTTTTCTGAAATTATTTTTACTTATTAGTGGAGTATGTAGAAGCAATAAACAAAAAAAAAATCCCTGGTCAAAGGATAATTGTAATTTTCACAAATTTTTTTCTAACTTTTTTTCAATTTTTTAATTTTTACGGGCAAAAAAGTCAAGTTTTCCGGGCGGCGATTTTTCTGAAATTATTTTTACTTATTAGTGGAGTATGTAGAAACAATAAACAAAAAGAAAATCGCTGGTCAAAGGATAACTGCAATTTTAATAAAGTTTTTTGTAATTTTTTTTCGATTTTTTAAATATTAAGGGTTGAAAATGACAACTTTCCCCTATCGACTTGCGGGTCAAAATTTTTTTGTATTGATTGGGCATCGAGTGAATGAATTTTATGCAATAAAATTTATGGTCTCGTTATTAGTTTTTAAATAACAATTTTTTCCTATTTTTTTTTATTTTTTTAAATTTAGGGGTTGATTTAACAACTTTCCCCTATCGATAATAGGACGAAACTTATTAGGTATTTATTGGGTACCTACTTGAGTAGGAAAATGCAAAAAAATTGATGGTCTGCTGAAAAAAAATTTTCGATTCTTGTCTGATTGTAAAGTAATTGAATTTAAATTTAAATACCTAAAACTTGAAATAATTATATTATTTTAAAATTAAAATTTTAAAAAATTGAATTTGTTAATTAATTTTGAAATAATATCATTATAAGTATTAAAGTGGTAATAATATAAAATATATGGGAAGAGTGAAACAGGCAAAAATGAATCTTAAAATGAGTGCGGGCAAAAACGGAATATATCTGTATCCCTTTCTTGCGCGCAGTGAAATCTTATCCCGCTTTTGCTCGCAGCCAAAAGTAATTCGTTTTTCCTCGTAGCGTAACATTTGTTTCTTTCTTCCGCGCTTACGAAAACTTGACTCACTTTTGCTTGCACTGTTATTTTATACCACTTTTACTTTGAGCCCCTCAAGTGTGTGTTTATATTTAAGTTATACGCGAATATATGTGTGTGTTATAGGTTAGTTCATAAGTGTTGACGAACGTCGAAAAGTGATACAATAATTGTTCTTTGTTTGTGTGATTAATTATCAATATATGTGAATGAATGAGTGAATTTCAGAAAAACTGTGTGAACAAGTGGAAATTATTTTTTTTATTTTACAATTTTTTTGAAAGTCAATGAAATTCTCAAGCAAGGTACTAGAATATTTCATTGACTGCTTTTGAAACTCTCATGCAAAATGACTAGACTGTTTTTAGTATTTTGTGTCGTATCCAAAAGTCAAGTACCGAGTCAATGAAAATTTCACGTACTTTTTTTTTCCGTGTGTAAAGCGTGCGATGTATGTATTAGTGTATGCGTTTAGAATGTACTGTAGGCAGGTGTATCAATTAGTATTTGTTCGTAAACAATTGTAGAGGGTTTAGGTAGTGATTAAAGTAGGTAAATTGAGAGTTACGGCAGTATTAATATAGATCTACTGAAGTAACATTATTTTTTATTTTTGTTCTTCAAGTTTTACCGAACTTTCAGTAAATTGCAACTCGTCAGTTTTACCGAAGACTTTATCTTACGTTTTACCGAACTGTAAGTGAAGCGCTAATACATGTATCGTGAGCTTTATGATTTTTACATTATTTTTCAATGCAATTTCTTTTACAGTCTAGTTCTTGAAAAACTACTGTTTTGACACTTCATCCCAGTTTTACCGAACTAAATTCAGTAAAATTTCAGGAATAAATTTTTTCGTGTATCTTTTATTTCTTTAAAATTATCTTTATTAATTCCACAAAATTTATAAAAATTCTATACAATTTTATAAGTTAATATCTTTATTATAATACATAATAATTATTGATACAATTGAAAGATTAGGAATGAAAAAAAAATTGCTGTTCTACTTTTATTTTGATGTAATATTCAAGATCTCAATTTACAGTGTAAACACTTTCTATTGGTTTTCAAAGATTCAATGCTAACGGCATTATTAAAATCATAAAAAGAAAAATAAATTGCAGAGAACGTGAAGGGCAAATTATCGAAAATAATATATAAAAAAAAGTAAATATTTCAAAAAGAGGAAAATATTGGGCAAAAAAGAATAATCTTTTTTACCAAGGTAAACTTTTACCGTCGTGTTGTAAGAAAGTACCAGTATCTTCGGCTTTTAAATTATGCAAAGTATTTAAAATATCATCAACACTTTTATCAACTTCCAATGGTGCTTGCATTCCACCCATTTCAGTTTTCACCCAACCTGGATGCATACTAATTGACAAAATTGCATTTTCTTTTAAATCAACGCTCATTGATTTTGTTGCCGCATTCAATGCACTCTGAAATGTAAAATTAAATGTAAATTAATGTATTAATTAATTATAGGTACAATATGATTAAATTAATAGTTGAGTATACAATTAGATTAATGATAAAAGATAAAATCAATTCAGTCAGGTTTTAATTTACTATGGTAATTTTAATGTTCATTTAACCGTTCATTATTTTCTTAGAAATTTTAAATTCAAAAACTTTATATTCAGCTAATTGGAAATTCTACCCTAGAATTTTTACAATAACAGCATTTTCACAGGGCAGTAAAGTAAGCAATTTTTAGAAATAATCAATTATTTTATCACTCATTTTTGTATTTAAATTGTAATTTGAATTTTCGTACAACTTTTTCATAAGAATTGATTTCAATAAGAAATTCAGTTCAAATTTTAGAAAATATTTCAAGAATTTCAGTTTTAATTTTAATTCTTCGTGAATAAATAATTAAAAAATATTCAAAATTTATATTACAAAAATTGTACCTATTTAGAAATTCTAAAAGAAATGAGATTTTTACAAAATCGCAATTAAATTTCATTAAAATAAATTTTATATTTCAATGAATTTTATTCTCTCACTTTAAAAAATTATTTTTAAATATTATTGTACTTTTTGAAGAATTGTAACTAAAAATTTTGAAAATAATTAAATTTCACAAAAATATTTTTGTATTTAAATAATTCAATTATCGTGGTTGAATTCTAATAAGAATTGATCTAAACAAAAATTTTAGTTAAAATTTTCAAAAGTACCTAATTGAATATTAGAAACATTGTCATTTTTAGAAATATAGGGGAATGTGGTCTTATGTCGGCACTGTGGGTAAAGTCGGCACCCCCCTTTTTTGCAAAGATGGTTCACATGTCGATTCGAAAATTTTGTGATTTTACATGTTAATAGACACGGACATAATTTATGCCCAAAATTTCTATTCTTGTTTAATCTACTCATCGTGAGCACGTTTTTATTTTTTTCCACAAACTGAATATCATTTTCCTCCTTTACACGGAAGTAGCTGCAGATAAGTAAATATTTTGGAAATTCCAAATAAATGATTGTTCTGGTTTCTTCATTTAATGTTGTAACTGATGGGTTATGTCAATTTTTCAATTAAAATTTTGTTGTTTGTGTAATGATGTGAAATTTGTATACATTGGTGATGGTCCTGAGTCGGCACCAAACAGGTGGTCCTTAGTCGGCACCTATTTGTTTATTTTTTTTATGTTTTGACATATTTTTGTTTTTATATTTTTTGTGTTTTTTCTCTACAGATATGGGGCGCAGCTTTAAGCGCAAGTCTCCGGTGCAAAATATTAGTTGCATTAAACGCGCGTTAGCAGCAATGAAGCTCGGTATGTCTTGTAAACGAGCTATACATATATATGGAAAAAAATTTGGAAAAAAAATCAAAACGAATCATTAACGGAGAATGATGGCACGATACCAATGGAAATAAATTTAGAGAATCTAGTTGTTGTAACTGCTGGCCATAAGATGGTGAATAATTACTTTTTTTATATCTCGGTCGAAAGTACATACTTCCCTCTTCGCTTTCGCAGCAGAAAGTAGAACATTTGTGCATTGGTTGATCTTCGCACTAGCCATCTGTTAGAGCGGGGGGAAAATAAGTTATTGTCTTAAATGGTTTAAATATGTTTTAATTCAGCTTTTAAACGTAAACATTATGGTCTTTTTTCTTATATTCAAGCAAAGAAAAGGGTGCCGACTTAGGACCAGGGGGGTGCCGACTTAGGAACACTATTTTAAGAAATTGACAAAATGCACCTTTTCACTCTTCATTGGATTAAGATTACAAAAGCCATTCAATATCGTTCTCAACAACATATACTTGTAGGAAAACGATCGCTGAACACAAGTAAAAACTCACCAGAGTCAATAAATTCAATTTTCTTATTATTTTCATCCAAATATCTTAGTATGCCGACTTAGGACCACTCTCCCCTAATAATTAAATGTCAAAAGGTTTTAAATTGAAATTATTTGAAATTTCAATTAAAATAAATAACAAAAAGGTTTTAACTAATTTGTTTAAAATTTTTATTTTTATAAATTAATTTTAAAGTTTTGAATAATTTAATGTTGAAATTTTAAGAAAAATTAGGTTTTTGGAGAATTGTAATTAAAATTTTTTCGAAGATAATTGAATTCCCGAAAATAATTTAAAAAATTGAAGCAATCAAAAATTGTACACGCGTGTAGTTATGGTAGTTATTAAACTAAAACAAAAAGTAAATACGAAAACTAAATATTTAGATATCTATCGATTATATTTTAATTTCTGAGTTTTTGAATTAAATTTAATTTAAAAAAAAATATAAAAATTAACTTTGACTGAACTGGTGAACTATTAGCTTATTTTTCCCTATTATATATATTATTTGAAAATTGTAAATAATATGATTTAATGATTTAAATGAAATAATTAATAATATTAAAAAAATGTAAATATTAGGAAATATTTTCCTACACCATTTGTTACTAGATAATAAAAATTTATGTCTAATAAAGTTCTTTGTCAGTTTAGATGAATATTTATTGCAGTAAAATTGGCAATTTTAATTTTAAAAAAATCTGCACTGGTTTATCAGTAATAATTAATTATGCGCCGTAATTGATGTCGTAATTGACGTGCAGAAACTGACTAAAGTGCGTAGTAATTGACCAGCGTTGCCACAAAAATTTGATTTTCGTTTTCCTTCCATTTTCCTGATTTACAGATAAAATTTTGACTTTTTCCCTGAATGACACTTTTTAAAGAACTAACTTCTTCAGAATTTGTAATTCAAATTTTCCAAATATAATTTGAAATTTTTTGAAATTCAATTATTTGTAAAAATTGTAAACGCGACTCTAGTAAAAATAAATTATTTTTCAAATTTTTAAGTAAAATTATTTGCTTAATAATTTATGAGTAATACTAATGTTGAGGAATTATTTTGACTTGTGTGGTTTTATCGAGATTAGAAGGCAGAATGTAAAATTCGGAAGTCGATGACAACTCGTCAAGATGAGTAGTCAACAGTTTATAATCTATTCTCAAAATTTGATATTGTATTTCTTTGTTTCGAAAAGATAGTAAAGAACTATTTTAATGTATTTTTGTGTTCTAAGTTATTGAATTTAATGGCAAAACTCCCAACCTACAGTGAAAGCCCTAAAAGTGACGAAGGATTGTTCTTTGATTACAAAAATAATTTTGATTATTCAACACTAATAATTCTATGATAGTTGTTCAAGATTTAAGTTACATATGTTAAATAAATTAAATTTCCTTTCATAACTTTCGAATAATGGAAACTTTGCAATTGATTTCTTTTATTATAAATGTCGAATTTTCTATTTTAAAGGCGTCTAAACAAGAGTTTCGCTGTAACTAGCACATTAACCGTAAAATAAAATATAAATGAAAAATGAAATAAATGAATAAAAGTAGAATAGAATTAAATGAATATAAATCGAAATGGAATTAAATAAATATAAGCAAAAATAGGTATAATTAAATCAGATTAATTTAATATAAATGAAATAAGTAAATAAATATAAATAAATTTCTTTAATTAGCGTATTTCATTTTTCAAAATTAATTAAATTCTATAGAATATATTAATCAACAAACCTTGCTGCATCTATAAGGATAATATCCTCCCGAATCGTTTTGAGATATGCTTCCAAGAACTGAAGAAATATTCACAATTGCAGCCCGCGAAACACTCATTGGTTTATCTTCTTGGCTTTTCGCTCCTTTTTTCAAAAGAGGCAAAAGATTCTGTTAACAAACAAATTTATTATTTACACAATATAAATCTTAATTCTACTTAAGATAAACTTAATTAATAATAATTAACTGCATTTTCCCCCTTTAATTATATTAATTATATACAATTACAAATTAATGTTTTTTATATTTAAAATTTTTTACTATAAGTTAATGTTTAATTACATATTAATTTTAATTTCACTATTTCACTATATTTTTTGAAAAATAAGTAAAAAATATTTCGTTCATTTGAACGTTAAAAACTTTAGGAAAATAAATTTTATAAAATTTTAATAAATCCTTCAAAACTATTCAATTATTTTTTTATTTTTTAATAAAATTTTTCAAAAGAATCCAATTATTTTCTAAAATTTTAATAAATCCTTCGAAACAATGCAATTATTTTTATAAGTAGTAGGTAAGTAAAATTAATCGCAAGAATTAAATTATTTTTTATAAATAATAAAAATCTTCTCATGATTTCAATTATTTTTAATACAATTTTAATAAACTTCAATAATCAAATATTTAAATTTTAAACTCTTTGGGGTCCCTACTTTTGCGGCTGCAGCCGACTTAGGTTTAGGAGTACTCGCATTTGCCTGGACATTCGGCCAGGGGAGAGGAAAACTGCAGAAAACCTACTTCCCGAGTACAACCAGTTTATTGACGTCGAATCATGAATGTACATTTGGATAGCGGGATAGCCATCACAAATGCACAAACATAACCTCGGCGTAAAATCTCCCGTTTGATATATCTCGATCAGTGAAAAACACCGAAACTGTAGCGATTCACAGAGGGTCACCCATCCAAGTATTAACCGCACTCAAAGTGGCTTAAACCTCCGTGATCGCAAGCAACGGGATTCCACCAACCGAGCTATACCATCGGTTTAAAATTTTAATAGTAAAATTATTTATTACAACTATTAACAAAATCGATTAAGTATATTCAATAAATTAAAGAAATTTTTTTGAAAGAATTCAATTATTCTCAAAACCTGTAATAGTATTAGGGTAATGTTACCTTGAGTGGACCGCCTAAGCTTTTTTTCTAAAAAATTCTTTATGACAGCAAATTAATCGGAGGTTTCTATTCCAAGCTTTAGTTTATATCCCTAGATAAGTGTTTATACCATAATAGCATTGATTTTTTTTTATTTGGGAAAAACAATTGACTTTAAAAAAATAGCTCATTTTTAAGGAATGAAAAAAGTGTAACCTTGAGTGGACCACTCTTAAAAAATTGTAAAAGTTATTCTAAATTCTGTAATGTATTTAATATTTCTGATATATTGAAACAAAATTTATGCTTATGCAGCTTCAGACCATGTTTGTGTCGCAATGTTTACAAAATGAAACCATTTTCAATAATTTTGGCACATATCACATCAAAATCACAAAAAAATTAATAAAGAACATAAAACAGTTTCAAACCAATTTATTGTCAATTTATTTCCATAAAAATGTTAAACTGACATTAAAAATATAAAAAACAGGCAGTCCACTCATGGTTATAAACTGTGGTCCACTCATGGTGACATGCAACTTTTTATGGCAGACACCAAAATTTTTTTACATTCTCATCAAAAATGAGAAAGTCTTGGATTTGTGCGATTTTGAGAAATTTCTAATTTTGATAAATCTTCACGTTTCATGACCCCCTGATTCCAAAAAAAATGGTTTTTAGAGAAGTGTCTGTCTGTCGATCTGTCTGTCTGTCTGTAGAAAATTTTGTCTCGACGATAACTCGAATAAATTTTAATGAATCGACTTGCAATTTGGGGTGCTTTTTTAGTCCATTAAAATGAAGCCTGATTTCGTTGGACATTTCATTTCGTCAAAAAACGACAAAAATACAAAACTTTTAAATTTTCAAAATTTTGTATTTTTTACAATTTTCAAAAAAATATTTTTTTCTAATTTTGTCCTTAAAATTTGTACAAAAACAAACAACTTTTCCTTTAGACACTTTTTTGTATAACAAAAAACGAAAAAGTTATGAATTTATTTTTTTTTTAAGTTTTTGGGCCAGGTTTATTTTTTAAGTTTTTGGGTCAGGTATAGCCAAACGGTTTATCTAGAACTAAAAAATTTTATTTTTAATTTAAAATATTTTTACATTCTCATCACATGAGAAGATATTATATTTGGTGGAAAACTGACTTTTGCTAATTGTATGAAATCTTTGCGTTTTGAGGTTCCCTGAATTCAAAAAACATGGTTTGGCGATTACGTCTGTCTGTAAGCCTGTCTGTCCGTCTGTCCGTAGACAAAAACTTTGTTCTGACTATAACTTTTGAAAAACTTAATTTTTTTAAGTTTTTTCGAATTGTTGACTTTTTGTCTCATCTCAGTAGAAGTGATTTATTTTTTCTTGTTGAAACGACGTGTAAATTTTGGAGGATTGTTTTTATTCTCTTAGTTCAAAATTTTTTTTGAAATTCTGTGCTATTTTTTATTATTTTGTTCTAATTTGGGTATCCTTCCTTTGCTTTGCTTACAATTTTTTAAGCAAAGAATACACGTTAATACCTGAAGTAATTCTCATACTTTTGAAAATGACCTTTATAATAATAAGAGAACATTAGAAAACGTTTACTATTTTATAAGTTATTCAAATATTTGTATAGAATTAAAAATGGCGATTTTTTCAAAATCTCTGAGAGAATTTCTTGTTTAAGCTCAAAATAACATATAATAACAATATTTGTTAATATATTTAATAAATTATGTATAAAATAATATATTATAATATTCTATAAAATTTAAATATTTCTTTACAAAAATAAATTTCGTCCTTTCTGAAGGACGGTTGCCGTACTGCCGACAAGACGCCGTAATGTGCAGAGAGGCGCGTCCTGCCGGAAGGCTCTTCCAAAAGTTTAGGCGCTTGAACGTTCTCTTAAAAAAATCATGCAGAAAATTCATCTAATTGTTCATTTTTAAATCTTCAGTAAATGTAACGTTTTTCTTATAAGAATTAAACTATCAAATCCACTGTATCCGGATTTACATGTTTTTAATCATACATTTATATTTACAAATCACGTATATAAGGGGAACGGGACATAATGGCTAATGGGCGTAATGAATAATTGTAATTTATTTAAAAATCGTAAATCGAAATGATTTTGCTCCAAACACAACTTGATGTACTGCAAGTTTCTACAAAGTTTGATTATTTATTATTCAATCACTATTGTAAGAAATATAGTAGAAAAACTGTATTTCACATATGAAAGTAACTTTTCAAAATTTTCATTTTTTCGTTCTAATTTTTTTAAAATAACTTTAAAAAAGAAACTAAAATCGCGTTTTAAGCTTGAAACATATTTTGAGGGCCAATTTGAGATTTTTGTTTCACACTTACTGTATTGATAAAAATTACAAAATATTTTCCAACTACCCTTGGGCGTGTTGGCTAATGCAACACGATATGCATAAAGAGCAACCTACGATACCTACGAAGTGTATGTTCATTGTAGAAACAAATGTGAGAGTAATATAGGGACGTTCGTTTTTTTAAAAGAAAGCTGAGATACCAGAGTAACTTTTCTAGGAGATGTCCGAGTAAATCAACAAAGAGTGAAAAGTTAGCTATTACACTCCGGTCTACACTACACAAAAAACTTATAATAATACTAATACTTTAAGAATATTTTAGCTGCTTCTGCAAATCATGTTTCTGCTAAGAGAGTTAGTAGAATTAAAAATAACTTCACAATTTTATCATCAAGACCAAACAAGTTGTTCATTTCATGATCATTAAGCTTCCTCAATATAATATATACCAATCGTTTAATTTTTTATTTTAGAATAATTATTTTAAAGTGTTAAGATAAAATTTCAAAAAATACAAAATTTCAATTTTTTGTGAAAAATTAAAATATTTATTAATTCTACAAATTTGGATAAAATATATACTTTATATACATGAATCGATTCGTTTTTATGTCAGGTATGCAATTTTGACAAGAATTAATAAAAATTTTAATATAGAAAAAAGTTATTTCAAAAAATCCAAAAATTAATTTTTTCAAAAATTAAAAAATTGTTGAAAAAAAATTTTTTTTTAGATATTTTTGAAAATCCTTCTGTCTGATTTTTGGTATTCGTGACCGTAATACACCTACAAAATTTTATCAAAATCCGTCAAGACGTGTAAGAGAAAATTTGTCCACAAGAATCGGTGACATACACACACACATACACACATACATACACACATACATCCGGACACTTGTTCCTCTCGACGAATTATGTATACTACACTTGAAAATTTGTAAAAATAATTGATTCTAAAAAATTCGGAAATCGACATCACTATAAGGCTTCCTTTAAGAGGAAGCAAAATATACATTTAAATGCACTTAATCTTGCAATCATCAGCAAACAAAAACATGTGATGAGAATGTAATCCTTAAAGTCGTAGTAACTTGCGAAGCGCGCAACAACACACGGAGCGCGACGTGCGAAATAATCGCCGGAGCGCGAAGCGAGCCCCCGCGCGAAGCGCGGACAGATTTTTTTGAGTCATAATTATCACCTTATTAAACTAAGACAATCAATTTCAATGTCCAAAGTAGTAGGAAAAAAATAAGTTACCTTTTAAAACTTAAATTTTACACTACTTTTACACTTCCGAATCACTTTACTCATTGTAAGAGCGACTTCTTTTTTGGTTTGTGTTCTTAAAAATGCGTTACATGAAACGATAACGTATATGATTATCGCAGAACATAAATTCTTACGGCTTCTAGGTGCGGTGCTGCTATTCGTTTTATTTATTTCACGTTTCCGCTGTCAGATAACTTAAAAACTCAGGTGGTCCACTCAATGTGACATTACCCTACCCATCTATTCTTCGAAAGAATTAAATTATTTTTTCTTTTAATAAAATTCCTTGAATGACTAAATTATTTTAGAAAATTGTAATAAAATTCTGAGAAGAATTTAATTATTTTCTAAAAGTTTTAATAAAATTAATTCAATGTTTAATTTCAATTATTAAGAAACACAATTATTTTAAAAACTTGAAAGAAATTGTTCATAAAATTCAATTACTTACAAAATTTTCAATTAAAATTGAACCCGCCGACGACCAGAAGGGCTTACGCAATGTTTTCGTTGGCGAATAGCGGAGACTCGCTGAACGCGGGGCCAACGAAAACATTGCGTAAGCCGCAGTCGACGGCGCGCAGTGGAACTTTTTGCACTTTTTTTTGTCAAAATCTAATATATAATATATAATATATAATATATAATATAATATATAATATAATATATTATTTAATATATTATATAATATATAATATATATAATATATAATATATATATAATATCTCTCGATAGAGTGGACCAAAATGAGTGATACTTGGGCCAAAATAAAGCTAGATAAATACAAAATAAGAAAAAATTATAGAGAAGTTTTTTTCTAATTTTCCTGGTCCAGAAAACATTCCAGAAGTAAGCAATTTAAATGGTAAGCTTCTGAGGTTGCTACATTAAAATATGAATGATGAAACTTTAACTTTCAAAATGGCGAATACAATATGGAGGATTAAAATCTCGAAAAATAATCGATTTTTACAAAACTTGGTTTTTAGGTGCTTTTTGGGTCGTGGAATATAAGTATAACATTCAAATTGAGAAGTTCAACATGGCGGTTCCAATATGGCGGACTAAATTCCCAAAAAACACTCGATTTTTATACTGTTTTTTAGGACACTTTGGAATTTTTGCTTACTTCAATTAGTTAATCCTCACTTTCACACTTTACAATTAATATTAATTCTAAGTTTAAAAAAATATCTTTAAGAAAGCAGTAAAATACAAAGTTTGGGAAAAATCAAAATACTTTTTGAGTGCTTATATTCCATAATATTAAGTCCACAATATTGAATTTCTCAATTTGAATATTATATTTATATTCTACGACCCAAAAATCATCTATAAGAACCAAGTTTGGTAAAAATCGAGTACTTTTGGGGAATGTGGTCTGCCATATTGAATATTATATTTATATTCTGCAACCCAACAAACATCTAAAAACTAAGTTTGGTAAAAATCGAGTATTTTTTGGGAATTTAGTCCGCCATATTGGAACCGCCATGTGGAATTTCTCAATTTGAATGTTATATTTATATTCTACGACCCAAAAAGCATCTGAAAACCAAGTTTTGTAAAAATCAATTATTTTTTTAGATTTTAGTCCGACATATTGTATTCGCCATTTTGAAAGTTAAAGTTTCATACACATTTTAATGTAGCAACCTCAGAAGCTTACCATTAATGAGTTTTGTAGGGTTTCACAATTTTTTTTTGTCTGTATACTTCAATTTGTCAATTTTTTAAAAATTGCTAACTTCTCGAATGTTTCCTGAACCAGGAAAATTAGAAAAAACTTCTCTATAATTTTTTCTTATTTTATATTTATCTAGCTTTATTTTGGTACAAGGATCACTCATTTTGGTCCACTCTATCAAGAGATATTAGGTTTTAACAAAAAAAATGCAAAAAGTCCCACTGTGCGCCACAGAGAGGTTTGCCTATCTGTATTAAGTGAACTTTTTGGTGTAGAATTATTAAAAAATACATTTTTTAAAACTCTTATTGTAAAAAATTTATGATAGTTATTGCAAAAATTTCTTTTGGATATTGTTACATTTTACAAGAAAAGAATTAAAAAAAAATTTTTTTGAGTATTTTTAGTTCAATTATTTTGTAACTGTAGATATAATGTAGAAATGTAGAAAATAATACAAAAGTCAATCGGAGACCTGTACATGTTGTAAACTTAACCAAAGTAATAAAAATAATTATAATAAAACTACTAATAATACTAATAATAATTGTAAATACCTGTGTTAGCATAATAGGCGCAATTGTATTAATAGCAAAATTATCTTTAAGCTGTTCTTCTTTCACCAATCCAAGTCGAGTGAATTTTGTTGAAACTCCCGCATTATTAATGAGAAGATTAAGTCCAGCTTCACCAACTACTTCATTAACAGCCTCAAATACTTTTTTATAATCGTTCACATTTTTCAAATCTGAAAACGAATAAAAATACATATATTTTCCATAATTAAAAAAAATAAACGTCAAACCAAAAAAATGATAAAAATTGTAACTAAAATAACTAAAATTTCACTTTTTTAATTTTATTTTCCGTCGAAAAGAAAGAAATTAAAATATTATTATTTCAGCATAAATTAATTTTTCCACTTGGAAACTATTTGAATTGTCTTTAATTTACTTTACATTCTGTAATTATTATATTTCACATTCATTAAATATTATTATTATGAAATGGAATACATTTTATAACTTCTTCGATAATAATTATATATATAGTGGAAAACATGATCAATATAAAGACTTTTGTTGTTGTATTAGTTTTTTACCTTGAATTAAAAATTAACAATATGTTTGAAAGAAAAATGTCTAGTATCGATCCGAAACATAGTTTTATTCTTAGTAGAAATCTAATCTTTCCGTGATGATGCTGATACGATCTTTTAATCGATATTTATATTATTTACACAATAAAACTCTTGAATTAATGCATTTTTTTAGTATTATGTATTAGAACAACAAGAAATACAAATTGAAAATTTTGAAATAGGGTAACTGCACCAATTGCCGAGGGTGCTCCAATTGTCGAGGATAATAATTTTCTTTTTTAGATAAATAATATAATATATAATATTTAAGAACAAAAAAAATTTCTAAATAATCTTTGTATTTTCAACTGTATATTTATATATACAAATTTCGTAGCGGTTCTACTAAAATAATTATTTAATTAATATTATAATTCACTGCTGTGAAATTTACACGAATCTCCATTTTCTTAATACTTCAGGTTGATTAAAACAGATTTTTAGAAATGCAAAATAAACGTATTTATAATGACTTTTTGTGTACAAAATTATTATTATAATTTTGTACACGAACTAAATTAATTTTGTATGCATGTTTTTTTGTTAAAAAAAAATATTTAATATTTTTTAAAAGCAAATCATCGGTATTTGGTTCCTTTTTTGTGACAGTTCCATTTTTCGAGGTAATGACTCGAAAATGGGTGTAGTCACTTTTTTCGCTGATGCACTATTTATCGATGGTTAAGTGTTAATTTACTAAACGTCAAACATAAATGCCAAACATTTATAGGTACAGAGAAAAAGAAAAAAAATGCTCCAAAAATTTACAACCAACAGAAAATAATCAACCAAAAAAACGAGGAAGACCGAAAAAAAAATTAATAAAAAAATGCATTATTTAAAACTAAAAAATTTTGTGCTATAGTTTAATTATAATTAACCATTATATTTACAGTTCGTAATAAAAGTTTATTTTATTCGTTTACAAATTTAATGTGACTTAAATTAAATTATTCAATTATAGTTAAATAAATATATTTGTTTTCTGGTAATGTTCTATAATATTTTTATCGAAAAAATAAATATCTACTCGATTTTCTAATATCTGTACAGGTTAATTGTTAGGTTATATTGGGTTATATGTTTAAAAATGTCATACCCTCGACAATTGGAACAGACCCTCGAGAAATTAGCACAAGACCATCGACAAATGGTGCTTTTGCTCGATTGACTTTTAAATATATTTTTTGCTTAACAATTTAGTTTATATTAAAAAAATAAATATGAATATTAAACATTATTAGATCCTTCGTCCAATAATATACAAAAATCAAATTTTAAAGTGCATTTACTTCCGAGAAAAAAAATGTCAAAGTCACATGTTGCCTAAAACCCTCGACAATTGGTACAGTTACCCTAACTACCAAAAGATTAAAAGTATGTATGTATGTACAACAAATAATAAAAAGTCTAAAGCAGAAGTTTTTGAATGAAAATTTTATAATAGAAATTTCAAAATAAATATTTTATATGTAATAGAAATTTTTATAATAAAAATTGTCCGATAAAAATTATATAATGAAAATATTCAATAAAAATAATTCGATAAAAGAAATTTTAGAAAAAAATTTGTGAAATTTTAAGTGCGCAGTGAAGTGAGGAACGAGAACTTTCCTTTATTTTCAATCTAAAAAAAAGTTCGAAATGAAATCAAAAAGACAACGGAAAGCGGACAAAAATAAAGGTTTTTTTTCTTCCTGTCTTAAAATGTCTGAAACTTTGCATTCTGAGTCGAGTGATGAGGGCGAAAAGGAAGTAAAAGTCGTTGAAGAATTAAAATCTTCAAAAAATGGAAAATTAATCAAAGGTGAAGAAAATTGATAAAATTATTTATAATTTAACAAAACCTTTTTCTTTCGGTCATTTTCTTGGTTATAATTTGAAAATAAATATTGTCAAAAACTTGATATTATTTTTCTTTTTTTATTTTTTTGAAAACAAATATTATTTTCTATTAAATTAATTAATTTTGTTTACAACTGATAAAATAATTATTTTTATTTTATTTACCAATAGTAATTATGTGCAAATTCGGATTCGAGTCAGCAAGACTTTTGAGTTCCTGAAAAAACAATGAAAATGATTAATATTTTTTTCGACACTTATTAATTTTAGTTCTGGTATTATGATTTTGCTTCCTCATAAAGGAAGCCTTATAGTGATGTCGATTTCCGAATTTTTTAGAACCAATTATTTTTACAAATTTTCAAGTGTAGTATACATAATTCGTCGAGAGGAACAAATGTCCGGATGTATGTGTGTATGTATGTGTGTGTGTGTATGTCACCGATTCTTGTGGACAAATTTTCTCTTACACGTCTTGACGGATTTTGATAAAATTTTGTAGGTGTATTACGGTCACGAATACCAAAAATCAGACAAAAGGATTTTCAAAAATATCTAAAAAAAAAAATTTTTTTCAACAATTTTTTAATTTTTGAAAAAATTAATTTTTGGATTTTTTGAAATAACTTTTTTCTATATTAAAATTTTTATTAATTCTTGTCAAAATTGCATTCCTGACATAAAAACGAATCGATTCATGTATATAAAGTATATATTTTATCCAAATTTATAGAATTAATAAATATTTTAAATTTTCACAAAAAATTGAAATTTTGTATTTTTTGACAATTTATCTTAACACTTTAAAATAATTACTCTAAAATAAAAAATTAAACAATTGGTATATATTATATTGAGGAAGCTAAATGATCATGAAATGAACAACTTGTTTATTTTATTTCTTTTTGAAATTTGTGCTTATATTAATATAATAATATTTATTTTATTGTGATTATTATAAACAAAGTAATAATTTTAAGGGTAAATAGTTATTTATCAATTTATTCGATTTGTCATAATAATGACCTCATTGCAATTCCTTTCTAATTGTAATTATTATTACAACGGAAGAAATTTGCAAGGTCATTTTCAGATGAGTTGTCAATGATTTGTTGTTATTATTATTACTACCTATTATTTATTTTATATATGTAATTTATACGTTTATTTATTCAAGTTCCATGATTTTTTTAATTACCTTTTATATTGTAATTTTATGTAATTTGAATTTTTAACTTCATATCTCAATTTTTAATTCGTTTCAATTTGAGTTGCAATTTTCCAGAATTGTATAATTTATCTCCGTCATTGTCTTACACAATCAGGTGTAATCCATATTTTACAACATGACATTGAAAATTTTTTTTATATTAAATAAAATGCAATATATTTTATTGAAAGGTACTTTTTTCTATATTATATTCTTTTTTTATTCTATGCCTAAATAAACATTTATTATGTTATTAAACTTTCAATGAGTTTTAAAAATATACTAAAATTTATTCGTTTGTCGTTATTAAAAATTAAATTTAGCTTTTCACAATTTACATAACCTCAAAAATAATTATTTTATTTTTTATTCTTTGAAAACGGTGTAAAAGTTGTAAACTTAAAATTACTTACCAACAAATGCTCTTTAGCAAATTATTTTTTTCCACCCTTAGTTTTTTTTATCATGATGAACGGATAATTTATTTTCAACAACATTAATACAAGTTCAAAAAACTCAAAAAAACCTTTTTTTTTAAAAAATATTTCTTGTTTTTGTGTAAATCGTAAACAACAATTAAAATTTCATTTTTGAAAATGCAGAATCAGAATTGTTAAAACAAGCATTTCCAAAATCTAAGTCTAAAATTGCGCATGCGTCTAAACTTTTTTTTCTGTTGGTTTATTATAATCCAAAGGTGCATTTGAAATAATTATTAAAAAAAGTTTATTTTTCATAAACAATTAAAATTATTTCCTTGTGCATTGAGAGTATTTACTGATTGTCAGAAATAATATTTTTCATTTTTGAACTAAAATTACAATTTTTCTCTTAAAAGTTTAAATACATTTAGGATTTTAAATTCACGCGGGAATTTCGAACCAATGAGGGCAAACGTTATGGCCTATACGCAATACTGAAATTAACAGTGTTTGGAAACATCATCATCGTTTTATATATCCGTCAAGAAAAATTAATTTCTTTTAGTTCATTTACAACCGTTACTACTGAAAGTTGTGGTTTTGTGTGAAACAATTTTTATTTATAAAAATCCTAATAACCGATTATATTTTTTAAAGTTTTGACACAAATCGGAAATAATGGCACCAATTGGTAAGTGTGGTAAAAATTTGTTTTTAGGTTACATAAAATTTAAAGTGTAATTTTAACAATGAAACACCCTTTTTTATTTGTCCATGAAATAGAAATACTTACAGTCGCTTTACTAATGTCCCGACAGGTAGCGAAGATAAATTCCGGTTGGAATTTTGTTCCTTGAACAAATTTTTTGACGAGACCAAGACCAATTCCTCGATTTCCGCCCGTTATTAATACAGAACGCATTTTTCTTCCCTTTAAATACAAAAACCGGCTTTTTTTTACAAAAACGAAAAAAATTCTCTTAATGTTAGACGCGGCGCACGCTCTTCATTACTGACAGTGCATTTTATACTTGACTATTGTCATATGATTTAATCTCGGTTTGATTATTTTTTCCGGAATATATTTTTAGGCAATAAGTGAAAAATAATGGAGATTTGTGGTCTTATATCCGTTTAATATTTTTCTCAATTGTCTGAATTTATTTCAACAACAATTTATTTTTAACTTTAATATGAGCAATTGAATTTCCCTCCAAAAATTGATAAAGGAAAATAATTTTCTAATAAAATAATATCAAAATTTTGTAGGACTTCAAAAGAAAAGCTAACATTTTGTATTTTTTTATCCAAAAATTAAAATTAAAAACACTGTCATAAAAAATAATTTAGTAATAAATGTGTAAAAGTGAAAGTTATGTTTAAAAAAAATATGATAATAATGTAAAAGAGATAAAATAAACTATTTTTCTATAAATAACAGCTTTGAAATTATATTCACTGATATAATTCGCAGAGTGACGTCAGAATTTTTATATTGAGTTCGCGCCACATGCCACAATGGCGACATTAACAATCATCCCGAAGTTTATGTCATTTCGGAGAAAACCGGCTAATTTATTAGAAATATCATTAAGCAGAAATAAATATTCCCCTTTTGGAAAAGTTCTAGTGGCTTATTTATGCAGTGAGTGAGCTTTATCTGATTTTATGTAAACTTTTTTTTAAATTCCGATCTATTACGTAAAAAAAATGATTTTCAAAATACTTTCCCCGCTTGTCAATATCTACCTGTGTTGTTATTAATTTTCCACAATATAATTAGATAATTTTTCTGTATTTTTGTTTTTAAATTTGTTTTCGAATAGTTATGAAATAAAATCTATATTTCATAATAATGATAATAATTAATTTTACTTTTGCGAATTATAACCTATAAATACAAAATAAGCACTGTTTGTGAATAATAATAATAATAATAATAATAATAATAATAATATATTAAATAAATAGAAAATTTAGTTTTGATTTTGATTAAAAGTTCAAAAAATTGTTTTTTCTTAACGGAAAAGAGTATTTTAAAATGGAATTAATAGTTTAAAGAATGTATTTTTTGTTTACGTTTGAAAAAAATGTGAATTAAGATAAGTGAAGTAATAATTATAGTAACTTGCGTAATATAATTTTAATTATACTAAAATTGTCTTATATATCGTTTAAAAATAAATACAATCATCTTCTTAGAATTGTATTTTGAAAATTGTTATCTTTCCAGGCCTTGGATATTATGACTTTTTCGACTATTTTCAAAAAGTTGGACTTTTTTCGACTTACTTTCAAAAATTGTGATTTTTTCGCCTTTTTCCCAAAAATTACAACAAAATAACACAATTTTAGTATAAAATGCTACTAATAACTATAGACAAATCTTTCAAAAATTATTTTTGAATAATTTTTCTAATTAAACTTTTAAAATATACTATTAAAAAGATTTTGAATAATTGAAATTTTGTAAAATTTAATTGAAAATAATTGTTTTTTTCAAGTACATATTTTATTACAATTTTTAAAAATCCACTTTTTAAAAATTTTTATTGCAAATTTTGCGAAAATAATTGAATTCTCAAAAATTTTTATGCCAAATCTTCAAGTACAAATTAAAATAATTGGAAATTATCTTCTAAAAAGTTATGGTAAAATATTTTTGAAAAAAGTAATTCTTAGAATATTTTCATTCTAATTTTTTTAAATTAAATTATTTTCAATATTAAATTTTCAATTACATGTTTCCGAAAATTCAAATATATCTAGGTATATTTTTAACTTTTCGGAGAAATCATATTGAAAATTTTTTATTAAAATTCTTCAAAAAGTGAATTAGTTCTTTTTAAATTATACAAAAATTTTTTTTAAGAAATGCATTTATTTTCGAAAAAATAAATTGGAATATTTTTAAGAAACTGGGGACAGATGCAATAACGGACGAGGTGCTCAGACTGATCCGAGCAAAAACTAGTGAACATTAAGGAAAATAATATTGAGAATTTTGTGCGTTATGTAATTTCTTCTCCTCTTTCGAGAAAACTTCTGCTTTGGTTTTGAATTTTATTTTACTTTAATTTTACGAATGTACATTAAAATTTCGGGGATTTTTTAAATAAATAAATTTTATTTTTATTCTAGTTTAACTGAGTGATAAATTTATTTTTCAGCGGAACACAAATATATGTACGATCTGGTGGTTCTGGGAGGAGGTTCAGGAGGTTTAGCTGCTGCAAAAGAGGCTGTTGAACTTGGTGCAAAGGTTGCAGTTCTCGACTATGTGACCCCAACTCCTTTGGGTACAAAATGGGGTCTAGGTGGTACTTGCGTTAACGTTGGTTGCATTCCAAAAAAGCTTATGCATCAAGCCGCTCTTCTCGGTGAAGCTATTCACGTAAATATAATTCAAAGAGAAAAAATTACAATTTTTAATTTCCATTAGAAATTCTCTTATACTTTTCTTCCAATTTTTTGTTTCGTATCCATTCTCGAATTTAACGTTTAATAAATAACATTTATATGACACTAGCGCTTCGTCGACCGCTTAGAGGTCGACTTCTTTGCTTTCTTCTTTCTTTCTATTCAAATTTTTCCTTTTATTTAATTTTAAATTGTTTATTGTGACTCATTTAAAATTACCTAAATTTTTATTTAATTTCTTTAAAGTTAAGTTAATTAAAATAAAAATTGTCACTTCATAATGATATTGAAAAGAGCGACTGTAGCTCCATCTTCTAGCTATGTGTAAGTTTTTAAGGTACTATATTTCTTTAGATTTGGAAATGTGAGTGTGCCCTTCTATGTTTCATTTTCATTGCTATAACTGCGAGAGTACATTTGATTATTTTCGATTTAAATTCGAGAGTTCGGTTTTGACCGTTCCCAAGTACAGTTCTCAAGCACTAATTTAAGTGAGGATTCACCTCACAATGTCTATAGTTCTCTAATTTTGACTTATTTGTAATTTTAAAATGTCTAACTTCAAGTATTCGGAGGAAATGATTCTAAACAGACTTTTTTTTAACTTAAACTCATATTTGCAATAGTATAAACATTTAATTCACATTTTTACCTCCCAACACGTGTTCATCAACCGCCATAGATTTATATAGTTTACCGAATCGCGTTTGACGCCATTTTTTTTTCACATTAACCAATTTCATGGAAACTTTTAATTCTTAACTCTTATTCTTCTAAGTGTTTGTTCTGACAGTTGGCAAAGCCTAAAGTCATTTAATAGCGAATTCGGTTATCTGCTCCGAGAGCGATCTTGCTCGGTGTAGGAGTATAGTTTACTCTGCTCTCAAAAAGCTGTGCTCTACTCTGAGGCAATCTATGACGTCATGAACACTGGCAAAGTTCGACTGTTTTTGGAGCAGGAGCACAACATGAACTGCTATGGTGTAAAGCATACACTGCTCGTTTGGCGCGAAGTTTAAATTTAATTAAACTTATATAATATAATATTATATTTATTATATTATATATATTATTATACATTATATTATGCAATATATTTTCTTCTTAAATGTAAAATTATTTTACTTAAAATTAAATATTTTATGATGTATACATAAATAATATTTTTAAAAGCAAAAAATTTGATATTTTTATTAGAATTTTAAAATCTTATTCGGTCAATGTTTTGATATAGCAGAATTGTTAATCACAAAATTATCGAATAATATTTCTGATATAAATTTTGTTTACATTATTTGACATTTTGAACTACTAACAACAACAATAATAAAATAAGTGAAAAGGTTATTTCTTTGAGACCAAATAATTACTTTATAATGAGTATTTTTATTTAAATATTAAAAATATTGAAAATTATTTACTGTTTTTATTAAATATTAAAATATTGAATGTTAGTCTTTCTCTAAATACAAAATTCATTATAAAAAACATAATTCGTCTTCACTACTATCGCTAGAGGTGTCAATTAAATCTGTTAGAAGTGAAATTTTTAAATTTGCCGCTTCTCTTGACATTTTTTTAAACTGCGCTAACAAAATTGTGGGAGCAAATTTTGTTGCACCTTTCGATCCTTGAGAGTGCACACTTCTTAATTCGAACACAAATAACGATCTGCGCCGGAGCAGTGCTGCCAAAACGAATACTCGAAACGATCTGCGCCGGAGCAGTGCTGCTAAAGCGAATACTCCAAACGATCTGCACTAGAGCACATTTGTCAAACCGAACATGCTACTCCTGCTCTGGAGCACTCCGAGAGTGCTCCGGTGCAGATAACCGAATTCGCTATAAGAAGAAGAAGAAGATTTAAATTCGAGATTTCTCACTCATGCCTTTTTTCTAAAGAGAGAAAAGAAAGAATAAAAGGAAAAATTCTGTGTTTTTCTGTGTGCGAGATAAAGTCTCGCTATTCTGAAATGTTATTTATGTGAATGTGTCAATTTTTTTTATTTTTATTTTAATTAGTCAGTAAAAAAGGAGAAAATATTGAATATTAAGCTGAACGAAAGTTATAGCTTTTTTCACAAAATTCAAAAAAATCAAAAAAATGCAAATTTTTTAAATTTTTGTCAAATTGATGTGACACTTTTTGTAGCTACTTTTTAATGTAAATACAACTAATTTTTACTATAAAAATGAAATATAAAAAATAATTAATCCGAATTTTTAAGTTAAAATCATATTTTTGATTTTCGACAAAATTTTTAATTAATTTTTTTTGTTGAATATTGTTTAATTTTTTATTAAGTTGGTAGTGATATCGATTGATGTTTTTAAATTTTTAATTACATTCATTACATTTATTTTATTAAAAAGTTTAGAGTCATGAATTTGATGTCGATTACAAATTTTCTAAAATCAATTAACGTGAGAGTTTGCAACCAATTTCTATATTGATATTTTCAGGTTTTAAGTTTGAAAATTTCATAGTATGTATTATCATATTTAACGTAGAAAATAAAATATTTATGTTCAATATAAAGGGTATACAGTAAAAGTATCAATAATACTGAAATTTGACTTCAGCGGGCACTGGGACACAGAAAGTTCTTAAGATTTATGAATTGGGATTTATGAATCAAAATTTTCTTTTTTTGAATTCAAGAAATGTTTTAGAAATGACTTTGAAAATAAATAACAAATTCCTATTTATGAATTAAAATTGTTCTTCTTGAATTTTAGAAATGTTTGGGGTATGGTGTTGCTTTCCAAAATTCTATCCGGGCATTACGCAAAAACGGGTAAAATGTAAAATCCCATGTGGAAATTTTTAATAGGGATATGGAAAAATTATACCATACGGTTTTACATAGGAATCAATATGGTTTCCTTTATAAAAGTAGATCCCATGTAGATTTCCCATGTGGGAATCAAAAACGTGTTATAATTTCTACTAATACATTTAACAGAGTGTCTATTAATCGGAAAGGTATCCCGAGAAATAGCCGGAAATTTAATTCGACTAGAAAAATCGGGAATTTTCTTATCTAATTAAAAAAAGTTTTATTATATTAATTCATTTTTAAAAAATTGTTTTTGCTTTAATTTCTATTGATGTAATATTTTTATTTGTCAAAATTTAAGACCTACTTTCAGATTACAATATAGGTCTTATTTTTGATTTTAGTAGTCGTAACGTGGGGCCTACTTGCGATACAATTAGTTCGAATTAGACTCTTATATAACTCCAAAAGCTGGAGGAAAATTAGTATTAATTGAGCTCCCGCGGGCAATAACTCGATCTGCGCTTGAACTGAAAAATCCAAGCCAGTCAAGCCGTCAAAAAATGAAAAAAAATAAAAGTCGGAATTTTTAATTTTAAAACATACTACCGTATAGAGCATAAAAATGCGCAACTTTTTTGTCTTTGAAATTTTTTTGTAGGACTTTTATTTTTAATAATAATGGAAAAAACTGAATTTTTTTTATTCTTCAATTTCAATGAATTTCAAAACATAAATCGACTTTTCTCAAACAAATCTGCATAAAATTAATTAAAAATTGATATACTTACGTATCAGGGTCTACTGAAGACGATAAAATGATTAAAACATTTTAAAAAATTAATTGTAAAATTATTTGTTAATGTAAATAAAGACCTGTCGGTAAATACGTTTTCTCAACTTTGAAGAGAAAAAGTATGCGGTGAACTTTCGAGTTGACAAAACTTCCAGTGAGACATTTGTTTATTAACATGTCAAGAAGTTTTTTGGAAATTTTTATTTAAATCGAATGAAAAATAAACAAGATACATAATGTTTAAAAAAATATGCGTCGCGCGGCGTTTTGACATTTTGACGCGAAAGCTATACGATAGGAGGAAATTATTGGTAACTATTGCTATTTTCTGTTGATTTATTTAAAAAATAATTTTATGCATGTATTGTATTTAAAATAAAACCAATTCTATACATTTATATATGATAGGCAGCTTTTTACGTTTTTTGAATCTTATTTCCAACTTTTAACTCAATCCAAGGTTAAGATTGTTTTGATGCACTATATACTGTGCATTAATTTAAACATAGCAGGTCCTTGTATTTTTTTGAAGAAAATACAGTTTACTTTATTCCTGTCGTTAAGTTTTTTTAATAATCCATGTGTTTTAAAATTGAAAATTAATTGTAAATTAATAAAAAAAATTTAAATAATGTCAGAAGTAGAGTGTGTGCAAGATGCTTTAAGAAAACGACCAAAAAAGTAAAACAATCAGATTAAGAATACACTGAGAAAACAATTTATTTAATTCAATCAAATTTCTTTTAAATCAAACTTAAAATATTTTTGCTTTACAGTCAAATAAATGTAAGTTTATTTCAAACATATTTTTTGGTTCATTTATAAAAATAATATATTTAATTTATGGTTGATTTTAAATTATTTATAATCAACTTTTAAGTTTAAATCAAACATAAAATTTTTAAACGTAGGTATTTTTTGTTTAAACCAAAACAAAAAATATATTTGAATTAAACATAATTATTCAAACAAATATTATTTTTGAATCAAAGCAGTAGATATTTTCTATATATTAGGATTAAGCTTACAAACTAATTTAAATTAAACAAAATCAATTAAAATTATTTTTTTACTTGAATCGAGTATGTTTTCTCTGCGTAACACTTTTATTTATTATTTAATGTTTTAATCTGGTTTGAAAAACCAAACAGTATTAACAAATTTTTAAGAACAAAAGAATTTAAGTTATGTATATATTTTAAAAAGTCAGATATATTAATAATAAAATTATTTTTTAAATAAATCAACAGAAAATAGCAATAGTTACCAATAATTTCCTCCTATCGTATAGCTTTCGCGTCAAAATGTCAAAACGCCGCGCGACGCATATTTTTTTAAACATTATGTATCTTGTTTATTTTTCATTCGATTTAAATAAAAATTTCCAAAAAACTTCTT